TTTTGGTTTTTCCAAGGAGTTGACTAAAGCAGTTGGTCTTTCTACGTACGAGACCAGGTTATTTAATTACAACGTTTCTATTAAGAGTGTTTAATCAAGTTGCAGAGAGTGACCTATTGTACGTACTGCATTTTATCCTATTTAAGAGAAAATTAGATAGAAATTAACTCTAACTTCTGTTAAATGAAACAGTGTAGTTCTGCCTCTCAACCCAATGCCTCCTTCCATGCCCACTGCTATCAGCCCTAATTAGCTTTTAGCAGAAATTTCATGTAACTGTTGGCTGCTGATGCAGGCAGTTTCCAGGAAGAGTAAATATTTATTTTTAAGACAGGCTTCATTTTGCGCACAAGGCACTCAAATCATTTAACGAACAATCTGGTATATGTTGACTGCAATTAAATCTAGCATTGAGCTTTAAAAGTAACAGAAATCCCTTGTAAATGTGCAGTGATAGTAGGAGGTATAACTGGGGACCTAGAGCTCTGTTTTCATTTAGAACAGACCAAGATTTGCTCATTTGCCTTTGGTCTGAGGGCCCACTTTCAGCATAAAGGAACAAAAGTGACTTTCTAAGAAATCATGGTTTTGGGAGCCCTTAACCCTACTTTGCACATACAGACTGGCATGACGCCATCTGACACTAGTAGGGACCACAGAGAGAGGAAATTCACAACTTGATTTCCACACTCCTATTGGCAGCAACATTTTTTCTGGCCCAAGTAGCGATGTTCAATTTTAGTAATCTGAAGTTATTTCCCTTGTAGAGCACATACCAACTTCAAATAGCTGTATGATGATTTTTTCAACCAGTTTCTATTCCGCCTCTTTAGAATACAATTGCTCTTCCCCTCCCCACATGACTAATGTGTGGGAAAAAGCCAATCAATAGGAGTTCTGCACATGGATTGAGGACAGTATATGGTCCTTAGGCAACATATGCTTCTCAAAATGCAATTTAAACATTAAGCTCGATCAGGCCCTTAAACTGGTGAATGAAGGGAAGGAAAGAAATCCCCAGTTGCACCACTGATAAAATAGAGCATCCCATTAGCAGTGAAGACTTGATGCAAGGGGCCAAAAGCTTACATGGAGGGATGCAATATCCTCCTGCCGGGCCATAGAGGAGAATATCTTCAGCTGCAGACTTGCCATAGTGCACCATCAGCACCCTTTCTCACTGAGTCCTAGTCTACATAGACTGAGTCCTAGTCTACATGGCTCTCCAGATAACTAAAGGAAGCAAAAAGCAACAGAGAGTCCTGTGGCACCTTTAAGACTAACAGATGTATTGGAGCATAAGCTTTCGTGGGTGAATACCCACTTCGTCGGATGCATGCACGAAAGCTTATGCTCCAATACATCTGTTAGTCTTAAAGGTGCCACAGGACTCTCTGTTGCTTTTTACAGATCCAGACTAACACGGCTACCCCTCTGATAAAGGAAGCAAAACCACCCAGGGCCCCTATAAGAGGGCCTCAACATCATCATGGGAGCATGTTAATGACTAGGTTGGCATAATCCATGATAACTCAACCAGGGTTAATGAGGAAATAATGCCACATCTTTAGCTATCCCTACACCATGCCCTAGATAAGAGTCGTGCAAGGTTGCTGGGAAGACAATTCAGCCTCTGCAGAACTCTGTATTTCCGGGTTTCCAAGGAAAAGTTTGGGTAGTGCTGTCAGTTAGTGTCCAGTGCACAAATCTGAGTGGCTGACACAGAGAAGTGCTCACCCAAGGTAAACGTTGATACTCCTTTTAGGATTGCAGTTTCAAACAAATATTTTGTAATGTATCATTAAAGCAAAGTCTCCCAAGTTATTTTTTTATCTTTATTTTGGAGAGGGTTCAAAATGTTTCTTATAATTACTAAAGATGCTAATCAGAATCAAGTGCTAGTAAGTTATTTACATTTGAATGGAAATCTCTTGATTTAATACAAATTATTAATATGGCCAATGAACATATTTTAAGTGATTTAATGTAGGAAGAAAGAGCTTTGACAGTTGGCAGTTGTTTTTCACCTTGGAAAAAAAGCAGAAAAATGCCATTTTCCGTGGATATTTGTTTCTCTGTGGTAAAGAAATTTCCACTGAAGTTGCTGGCCAAATTGGTAATGGAATTTTTTCGGTATGATCAGATACACTGTATGCTTTTTGTCATGGATCATAGTTATGCACTGCGTTGCCTTATTGAAATATGGGACAGCAGGAAATAAAAGGAAAAGAGAGAATTATCAGGGAAAAGTTTTACATTTGGAAGTTCCCCATATGTATGTCTCTTTCCAGGTTGTTTGGCCTAACACTGTTATGTTTTCCATATACAAAAAGAAAAACATGTATTTCAGTAAGGATTACTTATTTTCGATTAAAGAAAACAGCCAATCAAAGGAAGAACAATGATAAAACCTTCATGACAGAAAGCAGTCTCTTCTCACTTCATTAGACCCTTACTTTCAAATTGCCTGACAGTCTTACCCACAGCACACAGGTAGGCAGAAATTGACAAGCCATTTAATTTAATGATGCAGCACACAGAAAACCATAGCTAAATATACACCACAAGCACTTTATATCCAATACAGCATTGCGTGCAGTTATATATTTGGGGGGAAACAGATTATATAGGCTCATCATATGGTGATGGTAATAATCTTTTCTTCCACTAGTATCTCAGGACAATGTAAACAGAAGCCTCTAAAGTTAGACATTTAAAAATCAGCAGCTCCAGATAACTTTCATCTAAGAGGTCTAAAAGAGCTTGTTCTGGAACATTAATGTTGATTTTCAAGAAGTCTTGGAGTACTGGGGAAGTTCCAGAAGACTGGAAGAAAACTAATGTACCAATTTTTAGAAAGGGTAAATGGAATGACCGTGGTAATTATAGGTTTGTCAACATGATATAGATCCTGGGCAAGATAATGGAGCTGCTGATATGGGACTCAATTAATAAAGAACTAAAGGAGGGTAAAGGAATTCATGCAAATCAGCATGGATTTATGGAAAAATAGATCCTGTCAAATTAATTTGAAATCTTTTTTGAGATTACAAGTTTCGTTGATGAAGGTAATAGCGTTAACGTAATATATTAAGACTTCTGGAAGGTGTTTGACTTGGTACTGCACAACATTTTGATTTTTAAAAGCTAGAACAATATGAAATTAACATGGCACAGTTTAAATGGATTAAAAACCGGCTAACAATGTAATTGCAAATGGAGAGTCATAATCAAGTGGGTCTGTTTCCAGTGAGGTCCTACACAAATTGGTTCTTTGCCTTGGGCTATTTAACATTTTTGTCAATGACTTGGAAGAAAACATAAAATCATCTCTGATAAAGTTTGCAAGTGACACACAAATTGGGGGTGTTGTAAATAATGAAGAGGACAGGTCACTGATTCAGAGCAATCTGGATCCCTTGGTTAACTGGGAAAAAGTAAACAATGTATGTTTTAATGTGGTTAAATGTATACATTTAGGAACAAAGAATATAGGCCATCCTTACAGGATGAGGGACTCTATTCTGGAAAAGAGTGATTCTGAAAAAGATTATGGGGTCCTGGTGGATAATCAGCTGAACATGAGCTCCCAGTATGTTGCTGTGACCAAAAGAGCTAATGTGACCCTGGAATGCATAAACGTCAATCTTGACTAGGAGTAAAGAGGATATTTTACCTCTGTATTTGGCACTGGTGCGACCACTGCTGGAATACTGTGTCCAGTTCTAGTGCCCACAATTCAAGAAGGATGTTGGTTAATTGGAGAGGGTTCAGAGAAGAGCTGTGAGAATGATTAAAGGATTAGAAAACATGCCTTTTAATGATAACTCTAGGAGCTCAATGTATTTAGTACAGGAAAGAGAAGATTAAGAGGTAACTTGATTACAGTTTATAAGTATCTACATGGGGAACAAATATTTAATAATGGGTTCTACAATCTATCAGGGAAGGTATATCATGATCCAATGGCTGGAAGGTGAAGCTAGACAAATTCAGACTGGGAATAAGATGTAAATTTTTAATAGTGAGAGTAATTAACTATTGGAACAATTTACCGAGGGTTGTGGTTGATTCTCCATCACTGACAATTTTTAAATCAAGATTGGCTGTTTTTCTAAAAGATACCATCTAGGAATTATTTTGGGGAAGTTCTGTGGCCTGAGTCACAGACTAGATGATCACAATGGTCTCTTCTGGCCTATGAATTTGTTACACTTTAAAAGGAATAATGCAGATCATAAAAGTAGGAAACATTGCATGGCTGAGGAACAGAGAAATCAATATTGATCCATATTTATTTATTTACCTATTTCCAAAACAACATAACAAGAGTTCTGGTGTGAAATAGAGACAGCAGCTTGAGCTGGCATGGTGCTAAACCCATGGTTTTCAAATCAGCACAAGTACAGATCTTCTTGTTGCTAATTTTTAGCCAACAAAATTTTCTTCTGCCAAAAGAAAAAGAAACTTCTAGCACGTCCCTGCGGCCCCCCGCTTCCCGCAGCTCCCATTGGCTGGGAACGGTGAACCTCAGCCACTGGGAGCTGTGGGGGGCTGTTCCTGTGGACGGTCAACGTCAGCAAAATGTCTTGCAGCCTCAATCAGCTTATCCTGATGGGCCGCAGGTTGCTCACCACTGGCTTAAGTCCTTTGCTGAATTGGAGCCCATCTCCTTTGTCTTCAGTTGAGTTACACCAAAGATGACATTGACCATGTGTTCTGATTCATGATTTTTTTCCTAACCACATTAGATTAGTGCAGTCGATTCTTAGAATGGGGCAGCAGAATATAACTGACTGCATGTTTCTTTACAACCTTGTTCAATGAAATGATAACGATATACGATGCGGGTTTTTTTGCATAGAAAACTGGCAAGCATGCTTGTGTTTCTGAAATGATTTCATCTCAGCGCAGCAAAATGTTCGTCTAATTTTAAACTGGTTCCTTTTGTAGTAAATATATCAAGGCATTTGACTCTCCTTTTCAAAATTCTGTTTTAGGGTAAGATGGTGAAAGGAATGGGTGGTGCTATGGACTTGGTGTCTAGTGCACAAACCAAAGTGGTCGTCACCATGGAGCACTCTGCCAAGGTAAAGCTTTATCTCTTCCTTCTAGCTGTTCAGCTCTAAGCCAATATTTTGCACTGTAACAAAAAGTTACTTTATCTTCCCTGTCGAGATTCTTGAGAATGTTGTTGTTAGTTGCAATAGAAGTACTTAACGGGTGTTTAGGACACTTATTTCTTTCTTGGGTACAAATCTTTTGACTTAAAAAAATTTAGTACACCTCTACTCCAATATAACGCTGTCCTTGGGAGCCAAAAAAATCTTACTGTGTTATATCGAACTTGCTTTGATCTGCCGGAGTGCACAGCCCCGCCCCCCTGGAGCACTGCTTTACCACGTTATATCCGAATTCATGTTATATCAGGTCGCATTATATCGGAGTAGAGGTGTGTTTTAAATCACACACATTCTTGAGTGATTTTATGTAATTTTAATGTGTGTGCAAAGTGCTGGATCTACAGCAGATGCTATCGATGGTACTTGTTCTTCACCTTACAGCCAACTGGAAAAATGAAGTTTTCCATGGGCATTCGTTTCACTGTGAGGAAAAGAAATTTGCCATTGAAATTGCTGTCCAAATTAATAGTGACAGCTCAATGAAAGAAACCTTATCTGCATGATTTCATACAGTCTGCTTTATATTGCTGCATCAGAAATACGAAGTTAGAGACTTTCATTTTTGGTAAACAATGAATGCTGAGACGCTAGAGTAAACAATCCAGGGGTCTAAGTGGCAACCCCTGCACTTTGGGAAACATTACAATATTGATTGGACACTTTGATTGCATAGAAGAGTTGTGTGTTGTTTTTTAACTGCTAAAATACTAAAAAACTACCTTTTTAAATTCACAGTTGAACTAAACTTGTAGATGCTGGTAGAATATAGAAAGAAAAAACAAAAAACAAAGTATGGTAAAACAAAGGGATTTCCCCCCCATCCTCTAATGTATTCTGGAAGGGTTTTCTTTATCTCCTTCGTCAGAAGCATCAGGGATGGCTGGAGATGGGGCATTTGACGGTCTGGGACAAGGTTCTGAGGTGGCATTGAGCATTCTCTTACTCAGGTGCTTTCCTGGCTAGTTCTTGCTCAGATGCTAACTGATCATCATATGCAAAGTCAGAAAAGAATTTTTCCCAAGTTAGATTCGCAGTGACCTTGGGGGTTTTTCACCTTCCTTTGCAGTGTCTGAGTGCAGGTCACTTGCCAGGACTATCTGGGTATATCTCACTTAATCATTTCCCTTCCATTGCAGGGACCTTGAGCACCAGTGCACCTTGGTCCCTCCTACTATCTGCCAATGGCACATACCCTTCAGGCATTAAACTCTATGACAAAATAAGATTTAATGAAAACCAACAAGGCACTGGAAAATGGTTTACAGAATCTTTCACCGGGTTCATACGTGATGAAGGACAGTAGTAAATGAAAACCACCATCACCCCCACATAGCAGTTCCGGGGTCTCTGTGAAATGAATTGGTGCGCTCACTCCATCACTAGGGGTTGTTCCTCAGAAGATGGTTGAAGCAGATTGCTGAAGCATTGTGGGGGAAGTTTACAGCCATTGCCCACGTTGCCTCTGTTCTTTGCATAAAGGATAGAGTTGACAATCTGGCACCTCAAGCACTAATTAAAAGAAAAATAAATTGTATCAAACCCTGCAAGCTTTACAGGGTTATTATATGAGTTCTAAAGGCATTATAGTATAAAATAAGCAGCTGAATGGTGGATCAGCATTCACGTCACGCTCCCTGTCAGTACTCAGCCTTGGCTGGGGAAGCTAATGATCCAACCAGTGGACCAAATTTGGCGATGAATCCTGGTCCTGTGCCATCTGAGGCATGTTGCACATATGCTAAGACAATTATCTCTCTTCAAGTCACAGGGGATAAAAGACAAAATTTTCTGCTGGTATAAATTGGTGCCCCTCCCTTGAAGTCAATAGAGCTGTGTTAATTTATACCGGCAGAAAATTTGGGCCAAACTCTCCCAGTTGCCTTTACCTGTTAACACTCCACATATGAGCATTCTGTGCTGGGAGTGTTTGTAATATTGAACCTTATATTGGTAGCATGTGACGGGTTCCCCCCGGGGTGCCACCTGGAATTGGGTATCACTGAGCTCCCTGACCCACCAGCCTGGTCTCCCTCTCGCATTGTACTGCTGTGACAAGCTGTAAAGACCTCCAGCCTGCACTTTCACCAGCATTTATACAGGTAGGGACACACCCAGCTCCAGTTACATGCAGGCTCTCTAACCACCAGCTTCCCAGCATGGGACCCCAGAGCAGCACTGTCCTGCGCTGGTCAAATCTGGCCAGTATAAGGGTTTAATACCCAGTCCGCCTCTCCCTCAATGTGAAGAGAACATACACACTTGTGATAACCAAGCAGAGATTTTCACCAAGCACTCCAGTCAAAGCTCACTCGTTTAGATTAAAACAAAAACAAGTTTATTAACTACAAAAGATAGATTTTAAGTGATTATAAGGGATAGCAAACAGATCAAAGCAGGTTATCTAGCAAATATACAAAGCAAGTAAACCCAGCAAATAAACAAAAAATGCAAACAAAGCTTAATATACTAGATAGATTGGATATGAATTAGCAGATTCTCACCCTAAGAGATGATACAAGCAGGCTGCAGATTCTTAAGGGCAAGCTGCACTTGCTTTCCAGCTTAGAATCCCCAGGTGTTACATACACCGGCTAGAAATCCCTTTAGCCGGGGTCCAGCACTTCCCTCAATTCAGTCTTTGTTCCTCAGGTGTTTTCAGGAGCCTTCTTGTGTGGGGAGTGAAGAACCCCAGATGATGTCACTCCCTGCCTTATATAGCTTTTATATATGGTGGGAACCCTTTGTTCCAAAGCTTGGTTCCCAGACCAGCCTGTGAATAAATACTGACATCCCAAGATGGAGTCCAACATCATGTGGCCTGGTCACATGTCCTTGTAGAGTCATAGCAGCTATTACTTGCAGGCTGTCCGTAGCGTTCTCAGAAAGGCTCACCGGGTGGGAGATAAGCTTCTCCTAAGGACTATTGTTCTTTCTTATGGCCCATTACCCTTTACAACTAGCTATTTAGACTGAAAGCGGCTCGTCTAGTGGGCATTACCCAGGTGTAATTACATTTGAAGTACAGATACATAGTATTTATAACTTCAGATACAAAAAGGATACATGCATGCAAATAGGATAATCATATTCAGCAAATCATAACCTTTCAATAACATCTCACATGACCTGTCTTGCATAAAATGCATCATAATTATGCTATAACCATATCGTAATAATATCACTATGAAGAATATGTGATGCAGTGTGTCAGCATGTATTTAGGGGATTAATTAAGCTTATATTAATTTACCAAATCCAAAGTTTCTTCTTGCATTTTTAATGGATTGTCTTTTCAGTTATATATTTTGCTAGGGAAGATTTCTAAAATAATAGATTCCTGGCACTCATATTAAGGTGTTGCTCTTTCTCACTGTTCTGGCAAAACAGGCTCAATACAGAAATTACCTGTGTGAGTTCTTTCACTTTGTAAACTAACGAAAAGTACATTGCATAAGGTAGTAATCTTGCATATTAAAGTATTTCATATCGATTTTGTTCTAAAATAACTGTAACCTTAGAAATGTTATTTTATGGGGGGCAAAAAAGATGATTTTGTACATACTTCATGGAGCCAGTGAAGAGGCTCAGTGTTTGAAATCTGTAAACTTGCTAATGAGTGCTATATATGAGACCACCTAATTGGTATTGTACAGGACCCCATGATTATGCTAATGTCACATTTAAGTGTCTGATACATATTTTGAAGAGAATTGTGGTGCATAAATATCAAGCAACTGAAATAAAATAAGCACTGGTAGTTTTGAAAAAGCTATTTATAGTGCAAAAGAATACTTCAGCTTCACAGTGAAAATTATATCGAGTATTAACAAACAGAAATCTTGTTTTATCTTAGAAAGTGTTATAAACTGTTTTATACTGTACTGCACTGCTCTGCAATAGATCATTAGCAGGGTCGCCCTGAGGGGGGGCAAGTGGGACAATTTGCCCCAGGCCCCACAGGGGCCCCCACGAGAATATAGTATTCTATAGTATTGCAACTTTTTTTTATGGAAGGGGCTCCCGAAATTGCTTTGCCCCGGGCCCCCTGAATCCTCTGGGCAGCCCTGATCATTAATAGAGAGTAGTCATACTCAGACTCAGTTTGGTACTTGCCTTCATGCATTTCCTTGTGATACTTTAAGGCTGCCTGAGAAGACTTCTCTTTACTCTCAGTTGATGTCAGTGAGACGGCTCACGTGTTTAAATTGAAAACAGTTGAGGGTACAGATCTGATTGGAGCACTCAGAAACTTGCAGAATCAAGCCCTTAGATTATAAACTCTTCAGAACAGAGACAGTCTCTTACTATGTGTTTATATGTTGCTTAGCATAATGGGGTATCAGTCTTGGCTGGGCCTTCAGGGAACTACCATAACACTATTACTATTAATAAGCAAAAAGATTTTTTTAAAGTCTAAATATAGAAGCAAAATGTTCTTCCCTTGAGAAGACTCCAGAGTCCAATGCCCCTCTCACTGATCATTCCTATCAGGGTGCGTTTTGAAAAAGACTTGCAGACCACACACTCTGCACAGATAAGGCCCTACTAGAGGCAAAAAAGGCACTTACTCTGTCCCTCATTCAGTGGAATTGCTGTATCGCAGAATGGGCAGGTTTTTAAACCTCGAGGTTTTCATTCCGCCATAGGCCTGATAGCCCCAGATTCTGAGGCAGCTAAGTAACAAAAGTCTCACTCTATCTACATAATTAGTATTATGTTGCCAGTGGGCTAACAACAAATACATGTATTTGGAAAAATTAGGAAAAACCAAGTACAGTAACCTCACTAACAACTATGTAACAATAGAGACACTACAGTGTGGGGAGAACACGGAAGTTGTTCTGTCTCACTGCCATGGACAGCTTTGGTGATGTGGACAAGACCTGGGTCGGTGTTGCAGCAGTCCC